GATTAATGCCTTACCAAAAGGCTTGGGGAAGGAGTTGACACTTTCTACCCCTTGTGCCACATGAAGGACAGTGCTGCCCACTCCCAAGGACCCAGCAACAGGGAGCCAGCTTTGAGTCAGCGGGGGCTCGCCCAGACAGTGAGCCTGAAAGCTCTTTAGTCTTGAACTTCCAGGCTACAAAATTGTGAGAAATAGGTTTCTGCTGTCTATAAATTACCTGATCTCTAATGTTTTGCTGTAGTAGTTCAAGTGGACAATGATAATACTCACTGCAATACTGTGAATTTGGGGGAAGATACCAAACCATGCTAGATTGCAAGCAAAAAGCAATCTGAGATTCGGTGTGACTTTCTCCCAAACCTCACAGCAACTAAGCTAATGACTGACAAAAATGAAAGGCAAATTTAGACTTTTAGACTACAAGTCCAACATTTCCTCTACTAGCAATTTAAACAGGTATAGTGTCAGGTAATAAGAACAGGTCTAAAAATAGATACAACACAAAGATCTCCAGAAATTGTGTCATAGAAAGAGAGACAGAGACAGACAGACAGACAGACACACACACACACACACACACACACACACACACACACACACACAGAGGCAGGCAGACTAGTTTTTAAGGGTCTCTGAAAACTCAGTTTGGTTTCATATGTATGACCTAGTTTGGAAGAGGCTTGTGTAAGAAAGTTTCATGGTTCCAGGGGAAACGGACCTGGGTACACTCAATGTGAGTTAAATGTCTAACTTTGCTTTGTTTTGACTTCATAAAAGAAACTTTACTGCATTTTCTATTTTCAGCTATCATTTAGAGCATATCATTTACTAAAATTTAATGAGTTTTAATAGCTTTAAGGAAGGTCTAATGGTTTTCAAGTCCTTAATCTAGGTAATCCGTAAGGACTGAGAACTCTTTGTGGCTTAAGACCTCCTGCTTGTCATAATTCCAGGAGATAACATCTTTTTAAATTAGGTTCAGTAAAATAAATATTTTACTTACATTCTATTGATCTTCCGTTCTAAGTTTGCAAGAGTTTTTACCAAGCATATTGGTGATACTACTTATTTTTAAGTAGTTCTATGGACAAATATATTTGGAAATGCTGAACTACAAGAAAATTAAATAGATTGATTTTCCCTAGTCTTTAAATAAATGAATATGTGCTAGAATTCTCCAAAAAGGGAAATATTTTATTACAGTATTTACCAGGCTTCATTGACATGCAGCCTACTTTTCTTTGTGTGCATTTTTTAGGACAGGTAACCCTTGGATATCTTTTCATGAAATGCTACTTTATTAAATTTCATATATATATCACATATTTATATTAAAGTATTTTACACTTTTTAGGTTGTTTTATTGAAATAGATTTCTCGAGGAATTCAGGTTATTGTAGTGGAATTCCAAACAAATTCAAACCAGTAAAATATAGTTAGCCTTCCATAAATGTACAATAAACGTAGAATACAATTTAATACAAAAATATTAGTCTTTTAATTAAAAAAAAATGTACGGGTGATCTTGTTTCAATTTTGCATTGACCCACAAGATGGCGCCAATGGTCACCAAATTTCAGCCTGGCCTGTGCTGCTCTCCAAAGGAAGTTAGGCTCCTGGCACTCACACTGCCTTGGCAGGAGCTGTTCAGCAGCGTGTGCGTTATTATTATTATCCCCACTGTGACCCGTATTAAAGCTTTCCTAAGGTGACAAATTAAAAAGGACAAAACCATGGGAGGATAAAATAAGAAATGTTAGCCTTAAAATTCAGGTTTTGCTATCGTTGTCATATTCAAGGAAAACCACACATGCGTTTGTCAGCCTTAATTTCAGAATCCATCTTTTAAAAAATTACTCTATTATAGAATTTTTTAAAAAATCAATGTTTCAAAAGTTCTACATTATTCTAGATCTAGAGAACATCAACTGTTCATTTCTGAACACCACGACCAAATTGCTTAAAACAGAGGAATTGGTTTCATTTTTTATGTAATGAAGGAATACAAGCCTTAAGATAAACCTTGCTTATTTTAGGAACAAAACCACTAATAAACACTTCAAATTTTATACAGTTGCTTAGCCTCTAATATGTAAATCCAGCATAGAACTAAACTTAGTCTTAATGTAGCAATAAGCAAAGCCCACACAAGATGGCGGCCTCTCTTCCCTTAAAACGGAATTAAAGCTATTTAAAATGTAGACATTTCTTAATCATTCTCTAGGTTGTTTATTCTCAGAATAAATGAGCCTCTAGATTAACAAGGCCAAATTAATCTTATTCCAAGCCTAGAATGTAACAAAACAAAACTACTAATGTTTTGGAGACTCAATGACACACGAATGCCAAATCCTAATACACAAACAATGCCAAATTTTAAGTCAGTTTCTGTATAAGAACAAAGAAAAGAAAATCCAGGAACAAAGGAAAAAGAAAGGCAGACATAAATATTGTATGGACAGTTAAAAGAGTTCAAATTGACAATGGATCTTCCTGGAGTTAGCCAATCTTAATTTGAATATTATAGGCAGGTATATTTAACATTCAGTGCAACAGAAAAGGTATATTTTTATCAAAGCGTTCATAGTTGAAAGGGTCTAAAATTAACATAGAAACATAGTGAAAAATATGCTTTCTACACATTTTCACTGTGTATGTGTTAAATTATTTCTTTTAGTTATTTCTCATTTTTGCTGGAGACTTGTAGTACCCTCTAGTGAAGGGAAATATTTCACAGAAGTGAGTACTTAAATATATCAAAATTTTAATACAAAAGGTTTATGATAGCAGATGGTATCAGGTAATAAAAGTAAATTTAAAAAGTAAATTACTTTCTTTGAGGAACATGACTATTCCAATGAATTTAAATTTGGTGTTAATGAAATGACCGTGATACAATATCCAATAAATTAAAAGTAATACTATAATAAAATGCAGCAGAAGACAGAATTAAGCAAGTTTCTTTCTCTGAGGAGTAGAAGGCACTTCAAATAATATATAGAGAAGTGTTAACAATAGGAATAAATATGAGTTTTAAAATGCTTATTTTTCTCTCAGTTTAGTTTAGGATAGATATGCAAGAAAAATTATTCATATTGGATTTGTGTAAATACAACTTATTCAAGGTTTTCCTCATATCTGGCATAAATAATAAGTACTATAAAATGCGGTTTCTTAACAAGTTTCTGAAAATTTATAAAAGCAAAAATATGAAGGGTTGTACTTATCTTTTCTTACACTGCTTTAGACAAATGTCCTTGTTATTTTGGTTATACATTTTATACTAATTCATCTGTGGCATCAGAATAACCACAGTATGTCTTCCTGGTTGACTTTTCAATATAGAAAACAGATCCTAGAACCTCATCAGAAGACAGCAGCAAATATTGAATACTTTGATATAAATGTAAATCCTGTTGGACTCCAAGCTTCCACATCTTTAAAGATTACCATAGGTAATTATTAAAGGTCCGCTTGTGCTCAGGGCTCCCTCTCTCCATGTTCTCATTCATTCCATCATTCCCCACTGTGCACTGTGCACTTAAATCTATGGATGATGGGTATCTATTGTACCTACCTCACTGAACTGTAGAGGACTAGGAGAGTTAAGAACTATGAAGCGCTTAAAAGCCACAGGTCCTCAATCCTGCGTTGGTGACGCCTGCTCGCATTATTGTAATTAGAGCTTATGCTCTGAGTGTAATGCCTCACCTGAGGTATTGGAGTACAGGTAGAATGAATTTTAGACTCTTTGTTATTTCTCTTGAGTTTATAATTTTGGAAAGTTTCATTCTGAATGCAGATACAATTACATGATTTTCTTTAGGGTAATTTCATGACATAATCTAAAACTGTTCAATTTAAAGCTTGAAGTTACACTGAAGGTGAACTATATCTACTAGCTTTCTTGGGTATTGATTTTTATTTTAATACTACAAACTATGGTTTTTTTGTTTATACGCTTTCCATAAATTAAAATATTTTAGTGTATGTTTGTGTTACCTAACAATTACATTCCCCTTGGGAATGTGGTCCACCTATCATTGCATCTGACACTCAGAGTAACTTACTATATAATTAAAGGTGCTACTGGATCAGGGCTGTATTTGAAACTTGAACTTTAAGAAAGTTGTTTTTCCTGGTTAGAAATTGAAATTATTCAATTTTTGTTGGAACATTTTTCATAAAGAAGTGAATTTTTCAGGAGACTCTGTACCCACCGAATCTGATTCACTGGATTATTACCAGTAATTAATCAGAGTCTGTTATAAAGGTAACTGTCCCTCTCGAGGCTCACAAGGTAGCACTTCCAGATGTGTCACCTGTGCTGCTTATTGAATGAGTGAAGTAACAGTTCAGCAATTGTTCCTACTCTTAGTGTTCTCAGCATAAAGATAAGGTAGTACGATTACATCAAAAGTTGAAAACTTGAATAAACATAATTAAAGAACTATAAACACACAAAATGGGTATCAAATCTCTGATTTTACATGTTGAAAAATTTATTTCAGCTAAAATACTTAGCTATTTTCCTTGATCATTTTATAACACACCCACATGTATTTAGTGAAGTCAATTTCCCAGTTATGTAGAGAGAGCAACTCTATTAGGTTTGTTAAATCAAAAAAGCCTATACTTAATTATAAACATAGTATAAATAAGCCCAAGTATAGAGAAGTATCTAATGTGATATTAAAATAATTGGAGAACATCAAACATGTTTGCTAAAAAAAGTTATGACTCTGGAAAATACCCAAAATATTCTTCATCCATCAAAACTGTAGCAACAATGCAAATGATTGTATGATTCCTGTTGAATGATTACTATTATTAACTGAAATAATTCTAAGACAATTAAATTATAATAATTCAAATGCATCACACATGGCCACAGTAAGGGGATAAATAATGTTTCTCAGAAGATTCACACACACAACTAGAGGAACCTGACTAGCCATCCCCCTCTCTCCTCCCTTCCCTTTCTCTCTCTTCATGTACAGGGAAAGGACAGAGATCACACAGTAAATGAGTAAAGGTGGTTGTCTACAAGCCAGAAGAAGTCTTCACCAGGAGCCCAGTCTGCCAGCACCATGCTCTTGGACTTCTCAGCATGCAGAACTATGAGAATAAACGTCTGGTGTTGAAGCCACCTGGCTTATGGTAGTTCGTTACAGAAGCCAAGCTGAGTAGCATGGTACGCCATACACACTCTCCAGACGCATGTCTCACCAGAGGTCTCACTGCTCAGTAATGTGCAGCAGCTCAGCTTCAGTTCCCACCAGTGCCTGTGTACTTTTCTCCCCTTTCCTTCCCCCTTGTACCCCCTTCTTCACCACCACTCTTCTTCTCACAGTATTACACTCAAGTCGTAGAACACCTTCCCTGGTCCTCTCCATGGGCACTATTAGGCCCAACCATTCTTTGCTGTGGCACTTGTCTTGTTAAAGTTTTGCTTATTCTTGATTCTTGATGTCTAGCACAACTAGAAATACCATTAATTAATACATGTGATCAGGAGATGCCCACTGACTAAAGCCCAAGTGCGAGTGAAAGAATGCGTCACATATGTCATCTCAAATTAACAGCCAAAACCACCAAGGTCAACCATATTTAAGTTTCACACTCTCTTTGCCCATTATTTTATTCTCCACTCTCATGTGCTATGAAGCTAAGAATGTATTTGAATTTGATTACCAAATACTGAACATGAAATATATAACCTCAACATCACAAAAGTATTGCACTATCACATCTGCAATATTAAGCATTTATGATTGTCACTTTCTCAAACCATAGTTATTGGCACTCACTGTAATTACTAAAAAATGTTCAACCTGTCCTAGTTTTGAAAAGTGCCCTTACGCAGTCTCATTTTAGTAGCAACCTGTTTTGACTTTATTTATTGATTTGAATTTACTCAAAATAATGACCTAGAAACTACACCAAATAAAAGTGCATGAATATACATGTGATATATCTGAGCTATTGTTATTTTATATATCTAATTAATAGATACACAAAACATACAGCAAAACCACTTGAATTTTTCCAAGTAATATTTAGAAAAGTTATTTTCCATACATACAAATATGGATAAAACTGCTGGCTCTCTGATATCTGTTTTCTTCTCCTTCGCAGATTCTAGGCTAAACTACATTTCCTAGTCCTCTCACTTAGGAGTGGCTATGTGAATTAAATCTGATTTCTGATCAATGGAATATGAGCAGATGTTCCATGTACTTCTAGACCTGGTCCACGCAGTCTCCCATATTCAGGTCTGTTCTTCCTCAGCTTGAAGAACCCGGATGAGGAGAGGGCCACAGGACAGAGTCCGAGTCCCTGAAACCTCAGTGGAACAGAAGCAATGGACTGTATAGTGATAAAGAAATACATATTGCTCTGTGAAATAAAAAACATTTAACGCTCTTAATCTCAACTGACACAAAAGTTTACCCCAAGAATGGAAGCTGCTGTTTAAGTAAAATCTGAAGCCCATGGCATTGTCTTCATGGTTGGGTGATGGGGGGAAGGCAGCACTGTAAGGCTGAAGAACACAGTTACGCTGGGGTGAATCATTTGGTAAAGGATATTCCTGTGATACCCAGGAGGGTGCACCTACTGCTGCGCAGCCAGATGGGGGACACAGCTGGAAAGAGCCAGAATGAAGGTGTGTTTATTCTCAAATTGGCTGCCTTCCTGAGATATAAGAGATAAGCACAGGTGAAAAGCGGGCTGGCTTGCAAGGAGAAGTGAAAAGAAGAACTGGAGGAGCTAACTGTTTCTAAGCTGCACACAAACAGATGGAGAAAAGCTTTGGACAGTAAAAGGATATTAAAACAGCTAGAGACAAAGGTCAGAGTGACGGAATGCATTCCCCGAAGAGCACAACAGCATTAAGGGAACTGCCATTACATTGAAAGGGAACAGAGAATGAATAAATCATATCTGAAGAGTAAGTCCAAGAAAGAATATTGGTACCAGCAAACTAAATTCAATAGCATATTAAAACTGTCATATACCAATATGAAGTAGGATTTATCCCTGGAATTCAGGAATGGTTCAACATATGAAAATCAATTAAGGTGATGACCCACATTAAGAGAATGAGGATTAAAAGCCAATCATCTCAATAGACAAAATTTTCAAATTTCAACATGTTTTGAAAAAAGAAAATGTACTGTTAATTAGCAAGACATACAAGGAAATTACCTCACTAAAATAAAGGTCATAGATGAAGATTTTCCAACTGACATCATACTCAGTAATGAAAACTGAAAGCTTTTCTTCCAAGAGACAGAAAAAGGCAACACTGCCACCCTAGCCTCTTCTGTTCACCATGGTGCTAAAGTTCTAGCAGGAACAATTAGTCAACACAAAGCAATTAAACATATTAAAATCTAAAAGGAAGAAGTAAAACTGTCTCTGTTTGCAAATGACATAATCTTAAACATATGTAGGAAATTCTAAAAACTCCATTTCCTAGACAATTGGGACTAAAAAGAAAAGTCAATAACATTGAAGGTTAAAAAAAAAGTCAATTTAGAAAAATTACCTGGACTTCTAATATTAAAAATATGCTACGTAAAAAAGGAAATCAGAACAAAAATTATATCATTTATAATGGCACCAAAATAATAAAATACTTAAGAATAAGCTCAATTAGAGAAGTAAAAGATTCAAATTCTAAAACTACAAAGACCTCGAAAAGAAATTGAGAAGCACAAACAAATGGAAAGATAACCTGCATTTATAGACTAATAGAATTTTGTTGAAAGGGACTGTGCTATACAAAAATCAGTACAGATTCAATACACTTCTTTATCAAAATTCCAATGGCAGTCTTCATGGAGGTAGAAAAAGCAATTCTAAAATTCATATGGAATCACAAAAGATCCTAAATAGCCAGAGAAATTCTCAGAAATTAAAATAAAGTTGGAAGAATCACGCTTTCTGATTTCAAAATATATGATGACAATATAATAATTAAGAGCATAGTAGTGGTACAAAGAGACCTATAAACTCACAGAAAACAATTAAAAGCCAAGAAATCAACCCATGTATGTCGGTAAACTTCAAAAAGGAAGTCAGACCTATAAAATAGGGAAAGGGCAGTTTCAACAAATGTTTTTGAGGAAAATAAACATTTATATGACAAGGAATAAACTTGATACCTTATCCCATACGACACATACAAATGGCAATGCAAAATGGATCAAATATTTAAATGTAAAGCCTGAAAATGTAAAAACTCTGGTAGAAATCAGGAAAAGGCTTCACAATATTGGTCTTGGCAAGACTTCTTGTATATGACAGCAAAAGGACAGTGAAAAAAATGAAAATGGGCAAGCCAACTTATATTAAGCTAAAAAGTTTCTGCAAGGTAAAGGAAATAATCAACAGAATGAAAAAGAGACCCACAGAATGGGAGGAGCTATTTGTAAACCATTTATCAAAATAGCCTCAGCTCAGGTAACAAAGCCATTCTGATTTTAAAATGGGAAAAGGGGTTGGATAGACATTTGCCCAATAAAAACATACAAATATCCAATAGAAATCTGCAACTCAAAGCCTCAGTGAGTAGCATTTCCTATCTGTAGGATGGTTATTTTTTTATTTATTTATTTATTTTTTTTTTTTGGTCTTTTTCATTTTTATCAGTACCGGCGATCGAACTCACAACCGCCTGCTTGCAAGGCAGGTACTTATGCCGCTGAGCTAAATCCCCAGCCCCCTGTAGGATGGTTATTAACGAGTGTTATTAAGAATGTGGAGAAACTGGACCCCTCGTACCCTGTTGGTAGGGATGCAAAGTGGAAAACAATACAATACAAAGATTTCTCAAAAGTTTAAAAACAGAACCATCATACAATCCAGTAATCTAACTTCTGAATTCAAAATAATCAAAGTGTGGCGCCTGCAGAGAGAGACAGAGCACTGCCACATTCACCGTAACACTATTCTCAACAGTAAAGACATGAAAGCAGTGCAAGAGTCCATGGATGGATGAATAAAGAAAACACAGTGCATGTGTATAGTGGACTATGATTCAGACTTTTAAAAAAATGACAATGTGGACGAATCCTGCAGCCATTACACTATAAATCCAATACAGAAGGACAAACACCATTTAAGTGAAATATCTAAAATAGTTTAACTTGTTGAATCAGAAAGAAATATGGTGCTTGCCAGAGGGGGAGGAGAGAAATGGAGTATGGAAAATCAACAGACATTCAATTACACAAGACCAATAAGTTCTCGGTATCTGTTGTCCAGCATTGTACCCATGATTAGCAATATGATGCTACGCACTTAGGAATTTGTTAACAATGTAGATTTGATGTTAGGCTTTCACCACAGCAAAATTTAAAAATAAAATTAAAAGTGGGAGCATTAAATGTGGTTATTAGCACATGAAAGTGTATTGAATTTTTGAAAGAATTTAGCTGGTTGAAATCCCTAGTCTTGCAGTGGAAGCTTGTCTTGTTTCCTCCATACCTGTTTTAGAGATGTCTATAGGGGATAATAGAGGAGAAAAACTTCCCGTACAGTGGAGTTAGTCTTTACAGAAATAGAGAGGGGAATTCTGCCCAGAGTGGAACACCAATCCCCATCCTCCAGGTAAGAGGCCTTTGTAAAACCTGCATATGTTCCTTTAGGGTTGTTATGGGTAAGGGAATTCTTGGTGCCTCCCATGGTTTCATTTCTGTCATTGCATATCTGACGGGAATAGTGAGGCAGCAGGCAGATGCATGGTTTATTAGGGCTCTAAAAGAGCACATTCAGAACTGGCAGAGAATTTCCTTCTGATAAATCTACCCACTGATAGCCAAATAATTTTTGGTGAGGTGCCAGGACACACATTTAGGCAAGGATATTCTGTTCAGTGAGTGGCAGTGGGAAAATTAGATGTCCACATGCACAAGAATAAACCAGAGCTCTTTCTCTTACCACCTGCAAAAGTCAGGTCACAGCGGGTTAAAGGCTTAACTGTAAAACCTGAAACTATAAAACTGCTAGAAGAAAATATAGGGGATGTGTTATATGCCATTGGCCTGAGCAAAAATTTTTTAGGACAAGAACATAAAATCAAAGACTAAAAAAGGTAAAATAGAGAAAAACAAGATTATTTCAAAATAAAAAAGTCTTCTGCATAACAAAGGAAACAACAGAGTGAAGCAGAAACCTAAATAATGGAGAAAATATTCACAGTTACACATGTGGTAAGGAATCAATATATGCAATATGCAAACAACTTAATGGCAAAAACAATTCACTAGATAGATACCCCTTAAAAGAAGACACAATTATACAAGTATATGAAAAAAATGCTAGGAATCACTCATTGCCTAGGTTAGAGCCACAATGGCAAAGCACATCCCATCTGTTAGAATGACCGCTATCAAAAAACAACAAATACTGTCAGGGATGTGGGAGAAGGGGAACCCTTGCATACTGTGAGCGGGAATGTAAATGAATACAGCCCCTGCAGAGAGCAGCAGGAAGGTGCCTTAAAAATTTAAAAAGTACAATTTACCTTATGACCCAACAATTCCACTACTGCCTATATATCCAAAGGATAATAGTTAATAATTGAAGTTTCTGAACTTCAATATTTATTGTAGTACTATTCACAACAGCAAAGTATGGAATCAACTTGTATTCATCAACAGGTGAATGAAAAATACGTTATATGTAGAGAGATATAAATATAGATATTCACATACAATGGGATATTTTTCAGCCATAAAAAAATGAATTCCTATTATTTGTGACAATATGGATGAAACTGGAGAGCTTTATATGAGGTAAAATAAGCCAAGCACTGAATAACAAATACCGTATGTTTTCTCTCAGATGTGAAATCAGAAAACACTAAGCAAATACAAGAGCAAACAGTGGCTGTGAGGCTAAGTCAGCTGGGTGGGGTGCATGGGGCAGCACTGGTGACCAGATACAAAGTCACAGCAAGGTAAGAGTCACAAATTCTGGTGTTCCGTTACACAGAAGGGCGATTGTAGTCAGTGGTGTTGTATCTGTATGGTTTGTGTATCTAGATGTCGCCCAAGAGGCTTATGCACTCCCAGGCAGGACTTTGGGAATAAGACTGGAGCATGGGTGCTCTACAGTCCATTTGCTGTTAGGGGACAGGGCCTGGCCAGCAGAAGCAGGGGGTTGTAAGCCTTACTGAAAAGGTACATCTTCCTCCCTGTCTTCTCTCTCTCTCTCTCTCTCTCTCTCTCTCTCTCTCTCTCTCTCTCTCTCTCTCTCTCTCTCTCTCTCTCTCTTCTCTCTCTCTCTCTCTCTCTCTCTCTCTCTCTCTCTCTCTCTCTCTCTCACCATCTATCTCTCCCTTTCTCTCTGTTTCAGTCTTTGTCTCTTTCTCTTTCTGCTTTTTGGCCACCATGATGTGTGCAGCCCCTCCACCCCCTCATGCCTTTCTACCATGCTGTTTCCTGTCTTGGACTAGCTCATCATGGACTGAGCATGTGAACCAAAATGAATTTCTCCTCCTTTAAATTGTGGGTGTTCGGTGTTTGTCCCAGAGACAAAGAAAGTAAGAGTCTTACATAATTCAAAATAGCTAGAAGAGAGGGTTTTTAAATGCTCTCATCACAAAGAAAAGATAAATGTCAGAGATGATGGATAATAGAAATAGCTTGAGTTGATCACTGCATAATATATAAATGTGCCAAAACATTACACTGTGTCCTATAAAAATGTATACTTAATATCTGTTAGGAAAAGGGAAAATTGCTTCTATTCCTTGATCCAGGACTTCGAGCTGCAGACAGTGATCCAGTGGTCCTTTGGCTGCTTCCCTGGGAGGAAGTAAATGGCATTTACGTTCCAAAGAAGCATAAGCCACATATTTGGTGAGCACAAAGTGGTCGGTAGCCAGGACTGCAGCTGTCTGTCCATATTGCGTTTCCTTCCTTGCTAGGCACATGGCTGCAGTGTAGACTCCAGCCTCCTCTAAAACCAGGAGTGGGCGTGTGGCTCCATTTCGGGTCGGTTTCATAGAAACCCAGAGCATCACTATGACAATGCTAAGTCAGGCCATACAAAGACCTCCATGTACGACTCTTATTTTTCCATCCAGTGAGATTCTGAGAACCAAAACGAAGACAAATAGGACTTGAAAGAAACTCAAAAACTAGGATCCCTTAATGACTGAGTGGAACAGAAGCAGGGCCCCTTTTTTTCTCAGCAACATATAGTAGATGATAAAAAGAGCAACATATTAGCTTTTAGGATGCTAAATACTTGATATATAAGGTTTATGTGTTTAGTTATATACCTTTACAGATACAAAAATTAAGCCAAAGCGCACTAGGATTACATTGATTGAAGCAATTAATAAGGAAAAAATGTAAGATTTAAGCTCCTTCAAAAAGAGACTTTGTTTATAATTTTTGGAAAAGACTTTGAAGGTTCAATTAGTAAAATATCTTGTGATCAACAATTTATTCAAATAATGATTTTTAACAAATAGTTAATACTAAAAATATAATTGTAAGGGCTTAGAATTGCCCTTAAGTCTTTATCAGAACTTGATAACATTTAAAGCAGTATTCATAAATATTTTACATATATTTCTCTTAAGTTGTTTCACTCCCTTTAATAATAGCAACAAATTTAAACAGTCAAATTATGCATATTATTCATCTCTGATTCAGTCATGTCTTCTCTTCAAAAGATTACTGAATAATCTTATGAAAACAAAAAATGAGAAGATAACTCATCCAGTTTTTCACTAATATAAGAATCCCAGCTACAAAACCCAGTGACATATGACAGATGGCTTATACATGAAACAGAGAGGCATCCTGCGTGAATTAAATTCAATATTTGTTGCAAACATATGTTAAGTGCTATGGTATATTTTTATTTTGGACAGCTCTATTATAAAATGCATTATAGAGTTAATCTGCCTCCTTTGAATCTTAGAGCTCTAAGAAAATAGCTATTCCCCCTTTGACAGATACCCCTTCCAAGCATGTGTGTTCCTACATATGACTTAGTCATTGGCACTATTATATTCCTGAGGTCACTACAAGAAAAATGCAGTAAGCTGACTTTCTTGCCCACTATCCCTCCATGAGAGAAAATTCAGACAATATGCTTCCACAAAGCAGCAATTTAAATGAATGAGGCATTCTAGTTTTTTGAGGAACTTTCACAGTTTTCCAAAATAACACTTACATTCTCACTATGAGTAGGAGAGTTTACCTTCCTCTGCATTGTCAACAGGTTTTTTTTTTTTCATCTTTTTTCAACAATAGCTAGAATAATTAGTACATGATACCTCATTGTGGTTTTGATTTGCATTTCCCTGATGAAGAAGTTTTGGGGTGTTTTTCATATACTTGCTGGCAATCTGTATACCTGCTTTTGAGTAAAGTCTTCATATCGTGTTCAGTTTTAAATGACATCATTTAGATTTTGGTTTCTGTGGGAACTTTTTTTCTATTTGAGCACCTTATATATTCTAGATACTAACCGCTTACTGGTTGAATAGTCCGTAAATATTTTCTCCCTTTCTGGAGGTTGCCCTCTTCTGCAGATTGTTTCTTTTATGCTCAGGAGCTTTTTGAAAACGTAATTTTATTTGTCTGTTTCTGTTTTTGTTGCCTGTGCTTTTGGAGTCATCGTCAAAGGAAGTCTTTTCCCAGACTAATAAACTCACACACTTCACTCAATGAGTACATATTCAAAAGAAAGGGAACCAGCATGTCAGAGTTATCTGCATTGTCATATTACTGCGACACTATTCGTAAGAGTCTTATACACCTCCTCAGTCATCGAGTTGTCCGCTGATGGCTGAACACAGTTGAGTGTTTTTCAGCGACGAAACAGAATTAACCCTGTCACTTGCAGCAACGTGGAGGAACTTGGAGGAAATTGTGTTGCATGAATTAAGTCAGGCACAGAAAGATGAATACTGAGGGTTTTCCGTTGTGTCTGGAAGCTAAGGTGTTAATCTCAGTAGAGAGTAGAACCATAGGCAGGGAAGTGAGGATGGAGGGATGGAGAGAGGAGATTTAATTGGTACAAATTACAGTAGGAATAATGAGAGCTAATGCTCTCAGCACAGCAGGGTAACTTGTTGATAATGAATTGTACATTTCAGAGCAGCAAGTAGAGAGGATTTTGGATATTCTCAACACTCAGTAATATCTGATAGGGTTAGGATACATAGCGCGATGGTAGAGATATTTCCCAACACATATAATGGTCTGAATTTGATCCTCAATGCCACACACACTAATTAAGTAATAAAAGACAAATGTTTGAGATAAGGGTTTTTCAGTTACCCTGTAGAATTACTACACATGATATAAATATGTACAATATCTATCAATTTTTAAAATTTAAAAAATGAAAGACAAAAAAAAAGAAAGTTCAAAGCAGTTTTAAAGGGAATGATGGTAGTTGCTTCCATGTCCCAGATGATTAACTATAAGCTTTTCATCAATTATCGTATTATCTGATATAGTCAATGGTTATATAAGTTTTATAAGCAAGTGAAAAAGATAAGCAAAGCAAAATGGTAACACCTACAATGGAACTAAAATACTTGCAGAACAATGCAAAAAGCCCTTCAACCTTTATGCTAAAAACAGTTAATAAGTGTTTAATGTGACAAGCGACTTCAAAACTTGCAATTATCCTGCTAATGCGTGTCGTCACTGATAGAGGCAAAGATGGCAGATATAGTATTGTAGTAGGTGTTGTGAATCCTCTTTCTTATCTTCTACACAGTATTTCCGTTAACACTGGTGGGTGTGGGAAGTCTGTGGTCTGCACTGGTAAGTTTAATAAAAGCTGTAGGAAACCTAAATGCTTCATTTTCTACTGAACCTCCTATGTCTTAACTTCTGCCCTTCTGCCAAACTTGCCACTTTTCCACTGCTATTAACATTCTATTATACTGTTAAGGAACACAAGGCTCTTGAGAATTACAAAATCTGTACTGTTTTGTAGAATGAATGAATTCTCTAGTTGGTATAATTTTCCTTTTCTGAAATACATTCATGCATTCAACAATATTTACCTGGTTGTCAATTATATGCTAGGGACTGAGGATTCCACAGTGTTTAAAACGAAGTCTCTAGTCCTGAGGAAAGGTGCAGGGAGACAGGCGATGAAACCATCTAAAGTTGAATGCAGAGAACCGAGGTAGCAGTCAGGTCAGGTGCAGACAGAGCCTCATCTACAGGGTGACATTTGATAAAGGATCTGCACAAGCAAGGGTGCACTGCTTAGCAATCCTACAGCCCTGAGGCATTCTCACGAAGACAGGCGAGAAGCTTGGACAGTGAGTGGGACAAGATGAAATCATAGCTTGGTGGGATAGCAGATCACGTGGGGCTCTCGAGGATTTCAGGAAGGATTTGGGATTTTTCTCTAAGTAAGTCAAAAGAAGAGCAAATGGATAATTAGAGAAAAGTGTCTAAAGAACCCCTTGTCTGATGTCATCATTCTCATTGGGGAATATCTGAACATTTTATAGAATGTTCTATAAAAAAGTCAATTATAAAAGGGCAGGCATATTGTTTTGTGTAACTTCTTCAATGTAATGAGCAAGACTAGTTGGCCTGAAATATTTTGACAAAGCACACCTAAAGGTTAATGATGCATATAAAATGAGTGTGGGATTTTATGCTACTCATCTTGATGCCAACACAACTTTCTTTAAAATTTATAGTCATAAATTATATATAATAGTATACAAAATGTTCAGAATCTCCTGTCTCCTATTGATATCACTCAACATCATCTTATTTATATTAATATAAGAATATCAAGTGATTTTAGCATAACAAAGATGTCATCAAGGCAGTGAGCATTTGTTAAACACTACAGTTTGCCAAACACATGAGATAGCTATTGCTGGGATCTGGTGGTAAATATCCTTACTACATAGGCAGAACTCTAAAATACACTCCTAAGAATTTTCATTATAGTTCATGACTGCAAATGTGATATCATACCTGTGATTATGTTACTTATATGGCAAAAGGAATATTGAGAAGTGTGATTCAGGTTACTAATCAATTGATTTTGAGTTAATCAAAAAGAACATGCTCAGGGTAAATCAATTGTACTCTCAGTTCTTTCAAAGGCAGAGAATTTCTTCTATCTGGTCACTGAAGGGTAAGTCAGAACTGAAGCATAAGGGAGACCTCCTGCTGTTGCTCACTTGAAGATGGATGGGCCCTGAGACTGGTTTCTGGGAGCTGAATATAACCTTTGGCTGGCAGACAGCAATAAAACAGACATTTCAAAGCAGTAGCCAAATGAACTGAATTACCACAATATCAGGAATTAGCTTGCAAAGTAAGAACTCATGCAAGCCAATCCCTTGATTTTGGCCTTGGGAGACCTAAGCAGAGAACTGAATGATATTCTGCCCAGATTCCGAGGTAATAGAAACTGTGAACTCTTCTGTGGGTGTGCTTTAAGCTGTTAAACTCATGAAAACTGGTTAAAATGCAACATAAAACCAGTGAACTATCTGTAAGAATATATGCATAGCATAACTGGAAACACAAAAAAGACATTGGAAATAAATTTAACTGAATATAATAAAAGATTTTTAAATAAAAGATATCAGTATGTTGGCTATTATGGTATCTAAACTGCCATAAGAAAAAGATAAAATTGTGGCTTTAACTAGAGATAAATTCATCTCTTTCTTGCAAAACTATACAGGGTGAGATAGCCCTGAGCCAGCAGAACAATTCTATCATTCTCAATTTGTGACTTTGGATCTCTAGCCCATGGTCCAAGACAGTCTTCTTTACAGCCTTCTATTGGCATAAAGGTGGAAGAGGTCCAAGGAAACATTCCTGGATTTTTCCTTGGAAGGTGGCCTGGACACTGAATTACCCAAAGTCTTCTGCTTGCATCACATTGGCTAGAACTGCAAGGTCAGGTGATAAAGGTCAGCCCTAGCTGAGCAGCCTTGTGACTGTCTAAAATGTGGAAGCTCTCTGATGAAGGAAGAGGTTGGCGGATAGCCAGCAGTCTCTGCTACACTCTGAGACAGAACCTTTTGCATGCCATTATGAATACTGAATTGTTACGACTATTTCTTTCTATGGAAGAGAGTCAGACATAGACTTCTTCAAAACTCTGCAAAATTAGTGCTAATTGTACTTCTAGCCTCTAGACCTGGAGCAAAACTGAGCTCCTCTTCTGTCCATTGGTCTTTCAAATACTAGAATCCGGTGTTCAGCAAGTGTCCTGCGTTAGTTTCAAGGCATAGAACCCTCCCATTCTTCTCTGTTTGCTGTTCCTCAATATCTTATATGCTGTGAGCATATAAAGTGTTAGGCAATCCCTGGACTAGGAACTTGAGTTAGTGAAGTGGCAAAGAAGTATTTAAAGTGAAGAGCTGAACAAGCTTAACTTTTCAGAAACAAATAAATGTAGTATATTTTTAGGAAATCTATGAAAATCATGCTGCCTGAAGTTGGTTTTGTGGGTTAATGAGAGATTCAACTGTTCAGTGGGCATACGAAGCCAGGTAATGGAGGGTCACAAATGCTAGATTGAAGAGTTTTGATATAATCATTCTAACACAAAGAAGGCCACGTCAAAGGTGAGTTGAAATATACACTCTAAACTGCAAATGCTTGCATAAATATGAATGTCAACATGTGTGCACACAACTAGAAAACCATCATCTTTCAAAGCTACTATATGGCTCTTTCTTCATTCCTTTCATAAAACCTAATGCTTAAATACAAATAAATGTTCCTGATCTATGAAACTAAATAGAAATATAATTTGTATTTAATATGGCAATAAATGACTTAAAATATAGTAAATGTTAAACAATACAATATTAATGACTAGGAAGCATAAAAATATTTTTAATACTACTAAAAGCTAACACTGACATTCTCATTAACAGAGAGTATTTGCTAATGTTTCATAATATAGATGGTTTGCTAATGTTTCATAAGCCATGCATCAGTGTCTTACATCTTATTTAATATAAGTTCTGATATAAACTCAACATTATGGCATTGTAGGTACTATACAAAATTTATACACTGTATAATAAAACTAATTAAAACCTTCCAGTGATAGCTTTATTCTTTGATTACAAATCTGTAAATCATCCTAGTATCAAGGCACAAGAGCTCAAGAGAAGGTTTTGACCATGGTGATTTCATAAAAATGATCTCCAGAGCTGGTGAAAATCTGCAAAGCACCAGAAAAGTACATGGGCAGTAAATACAACTAAGGATTTTCTTTGGAGACTGAGCAATTGCATTTTTTCCTTACTGACATAGGCCAGTACATCACTTAACATGCAGTACTAATATCACTCAGTGCTGTTGCTATCTGAATATAAATGATCCTTAATAGGCACAAATGATTTGAAGCTTCAGTCATTAGTGGTTTAAATTTTACTTTTTCCTCTTATTTTCTCTCCTATTTAAATTTTTCACATTTACAGTGTCTTTTGGTAGCACGGTACAGAGATCAAAGACCTTGCCCACCAAATGATAACAACACTCACACCACTGCATGATCAAAAATATATATACATTCCTAGTTCTGATTTTTTTATTTAAAAGAGATCTCAAACCAATTTTTAGATGAAAACACTAGTTTTTCACCTGTTTGTGGTTGTGGTAAAGCTTATAAATTCTGTTCATTTATCTTTTATAACATATGGAATGTATGTAGCTTTTATGCACCTGGATCTGTGGCAAAATTTTTAAAGTCTGAAAAATGAAGCTGGTATAGAAGTGCAGGAAGTTACTATTACCGTTAGTCTGCATTTTTTTTCTTCTCATGCAGCTAGAAGGGTGCTCTGCTTTATTTCTTTCTTTAACTCTGAACTTATTTCTTCTCTCCTGTTTGCATGTTTGGAACCAAATATTCCCACAGGTTTGTGTCACATAGTCTGTATTAGCAGGATCGTCATTAGTACTCAGCTGTAAAAGACAGTTTAGGCTGGCACAATGAAGAACATTTCAAGGGAAAAATAGCAAAGAGGACTTTAGTGATGCAGGGATGCAGGCTTCACCTAGACTTCCTTTACAGGGTAACCAGCAACATTGCCTTACCCGGACCACACAATGAACGTGCCTGTACAGAAAAGAATATCTTTGTTCTATCATTTGCTTTTCGAAGACAGTGCACTATTTTTAATCAGCAAAATCCTTGTTCTGGCAAAAATTCCAGAGCTAATCTTCTCATGTTACCCTGAGGTTAGTCAGATTATTCTTGGTGTTGAGTGTGGTTTTACACACGAAGAGTTTTAAGAGCTCATTCTGTTTACTTTGGCCTTGCACATGTAAGTGTAGTCTTATCCTGAAAATATATAAAGCATTGTAACATTCAAATAACCTGTTTCCACTTTGCTGCCATCAGAGACATTAATCCTGCTCAGCAATCACTCCGCACACTGCAGATGGACATCGTGGAAGATAAAAGATCACATGTAAGTATCAGCAATCATACCCTCCATGGCTCTGGATATGTGTTTATTTTTATATTTCAAGTTTCTATATTTAATTTAACATTATTTCCCTCCAGATTTAGTAAATAGGGTTTTTGCAAACCAAAAAATTCTAATTCTCATGGGTACAAAAAAGGTTTATTGTTGAGATGAGATACTATGCCTTTTAAAAAATCTTTGTTAACAATAAGATTTTTTTTTCTGAGCTAATTTGTAAGGCCTTGCAGAACAGCAGTGTACTTTTTCTGAGTCATTTCAACCTATCCTATTATCTTCATTTCCATTTAGAAATGACATAATCGATTTTTATTGTATTCAACAATACTACCCCAAGAATTAATGAATATATTTTCTAAATGCTACTGTTTTAATGAAATGAAAGCGCTTCTCAGCAATTTTGCTCAGAGGCAGTCATAAAAAGTGACTTTGGGGAGTAGACCTGTGAAAACAACTTGGCATCTGAAAATTCCTAATATATGTTTATTGGTTCTTCATCTTCCTCAATAAAAGAAACTAAATTTCTCAATAAAAGAAACTAAATTTTTATTCAGTCCAATGGTTCATGGGGTAGATTTTAAGAAACTTTTCTAGAAGAGTTTAAATAGCTGACCAATCTGGAAGAAAGAGAAAGAAGTTCTCCTTTCTCTCTCAGTGTAGATCCAACCAATAAGAGAAAAAAAATGTCAACTGCACAAGAAATAACACCGAGAGTCAACAAAATAGAACTACATCAAAATAGAACACTTCTGCACAGCAAACAAAACAGCGAATAGAGTGAAAAGATGGCCTACAGGATGGGAAAAAATACCAGCTATATCTCAGACAGAGAACTAAATAAATAATTTTTTAAAATTAACTCCTTAATAAAAGATACAGTCAAACAATAGGCTACTGAAATTAATAGACTCTCCTCAGAAACGAGCCATAAAATACAAAAAATATTCAACAGCACTGGCCATTAGAAAAATGCAAATTAAAACAACACTGAAATTTTACCTTATTCAAAACAGAATGGCAATCATCAAAAAATCAAAAACCAACAAATATTGGTTGGTGAGAATGCAAGCTACTAAAATGATGATGGAAATCAATATGGAGATACCTCAAAAAATTAAATATAGAAATTCCAGTTGTTCCACTATCAGATATCTTCCTGGAAGGATTAAAGACATACTATAGCACTGTATGCATACCAATGTTTGTAGGAGCACAATTCACTGTAGCCAAATCTTGGAAGCAGCGCTATGCCCATCAACAGAAGAATGGATTTTTAAAAATGTGATATCTACAAATGACAGACTGCTACTCTGCTCTAGAGAAGTGAATTTGAGTTGGTTGTAGGAAAATAGATGTACCTTGAAAACAAAAGGTTAAGTGAAATACATCAGACATGCAAGTTTAAATACCATATAATTTTTTTCTTATATGAGAACTTCAAAGTATAAATAAAGAGCAAAATAAAATGTAGACAAAGGGAAATAGAGAGATAGTTCTTTGGCAAATGGGAAGGGGACTAGGAGATGGAGGGGATGGGGAGTGACACAGGGGAAAAGGATTAAGCCATGTCATGTACGTGGATGAAATACCACAATGAAAGTAGTTATAATGCATCACAAAAATGTCTGACAAATTAAAAAAAATGTTTGGGACAAATAAAAAGAAGATGCATTATATACATGTACCAATGCTTGATAGTGGTTTGTAACATGTGTATAGCAAATATGTACTAACAAAAATGAAACATCTTAAAAAAGATTTGAGGAGAAAGATGGAAAGGTAAAAATTGTGCTGTGGCCTCTTCACTATGACCCTGTAACACCTCACAGTCCACCAGGGCTATGCATTCCAGACCAGATGAGGTTAATGCTGCCCTTGCTAGAGAAGGTGTTAGAGGCAGGAGCACAGGGAGAGAGAGAAAAAGTTCTAAGATGTGCTACATTTAAGGTCCAGAGGATGAAGAGGAAGAGAGATGCGGAGGTTAATTAGAAATGCCCCTGAGACAACTAAAGCCTTTCGCGTTTCCCCAATATGTGTAGAATCTTAACTAGGATCCCACTGAAACCCCCAGGTACCCTTTTACACCCTGCCTACAACGCCAACCAACCTAGAGGCAATAATGATTTCTTGCTGTCCTGTACCTCAAAGCTTTCCTAGCTTTATTTCACCTCTCTTAACTATAGCCAATGTGGTTTCAACGTCAACCACTTATGCTTTCTTTCTTCCAAATACCTAATACAAATTATTCTGAGCTCAAGGTCTGATGGACAGTTTTGCAGCTGCTATTTGGCCTCATTGCTGCATGCCACAGCTCTCTTTGAAAGGGTTGCCTGGTTAAATCCAATTTACTGAAGACCACCTCTTTCTCTTTTATTTACCCAACAGCAATTGATGAGAAGCATTTATTAGATCTGCAAAAGCAGCAGCATCATAGGAATATCTCATCACATTGATGGATTCCATCTCTGTAAAAGGGAAGGGATTAAACAAGGACATGAATCATTAAGAGTCAGTTTAGAGTTCTGTCTATAGGGCAAGTTCTATAAATCCTGTTTTACTTAGCTGGTTTATTACATTCTGTTTTCCAGACCTCAATCTAAGTTTCCTAGCTAGAAGCCCAAGGGAAAGATAAATCACAGAATTACCTTAGCCTGACCAGGTCTCTCTACCAGCACCTCTCATACCACTTTCCGTATCATATCTCCTACAGTTTTTCTGGACTTACTACAACGTTCAATGCTTTTTCTTTACCAGACCTTATCATCAAACGCCTGGTCATATAGTTCAAAAGCACAGAAGGAGATGCAGTGGCACACATGTATAATTCTAGCCACTCGGGGGCAGAGGCAGCGAAAGCAAACTTAAGGCCAGCCTGGACAGCTTAGCCAGTTGCTGTCTCAAAAAAAATTTTTTTTAAGGCTAGGGATATAATTAGTGGTGGAGCACTCGGTCAACATGTGTGAGGCCTGTGTTCACTCTTCAGTACCCAAGGAAACGAAAGCGTAGGAAGAAATATAGGCCTGTAAATATGAAATATATGGTGACTGTTGGTGTGCCACTGAACCACAGAAAATCTAAAACGTTTGGTTTTGCCAATAACATTTTAAAAAGAATCCCTTATGTTCCTATGAAAAGCTAAAGTAATACTTTTACTACTTAATAGTAGTACTTACAATTGTCCTAATATTTAAAAACACTTATAATATGTTATAATACTACATTGTTATAATACTGTTTTCTGCATTACTGGTTCCCTACATTAGTCTATTTCAAGAGCAAAAACAATCCATTTAAACTGTGCTGTCTTTTCAGTCTATTGATTTTTGGTGTGCATGACAGAGTGAGGAGAACTATATTTCTGCTATGGCATCTATTATTCTTAATGCTAAGAGGTATTTTTGTTTCTCAACATTATTGAATTGAAATATCAAAACCGAAGCCAGTAAAAATTAACTGCAAATAATTTCAAATCCTCTCAGCTACTACCTGTTTTCGCTAGGCTTAGTTTTGCTACCACTGTGGACACTTACAAGGATTCCTTTTCAGGATTCTGTTTTTCATGATCTCAGAGCACAAACCTGAAATAATTATCAGAAGATAAATATGATATTTACAAAACAGGAGCTTTGTGCTTTACAGAGTCAGATATATCGGGGGAGGAAGTATTTCTTAAAAATTGCTTTTAAAAAGATCTTAACATAAATTCTACTCTTCCTTTCCTGAGCCCCCTGGAGTAAGCACCACAAAGCCGTGCAATGGGCAGGTTGCTAGCATCAGTTACTCGGTAGGGCAAAAATTATGATGTGACCCTGCAGCACACACCGGAGAAGATTTTGAAGGACAAAAGTGACCGCTAAATTCTGGAGCCCACTGGAATGTATAATACAGTAGTTGCTAAAAATAATGAAAGGGTAAAAATGTCCTTGAAACTCTCATTTGAAAGTATTCACTAATTTCATCAATAATCTAGTTAAAACCATATTGATGATGATGATCATGTGACTATGAGAGGGCTTACTTTATAAAATAAACTGCATGTGCGGTATTCTAGCTAGTCTTTAGAACAAGCCAGGAGGAGGACACTTTGTCATCTCCAGTTCACATTATTCAGTGCCACAGTTGTGGTCTGGCTCTGACCAGACTCATGTGGCAGCGGACACTGTGGGCACCTCTCACATGCTGAGGAGTCATGTACTCTCAACTGCCCTTAACACAAGACTCCCTACTTCTTTCTGTCTCTCAAACACCTGAAACTCTGCAGCCAAGAGACTTATGTGTGGACCATGCCAGGGCCAGGGCATGACTTAGCCAATGGCAAATGGGAATTGCTGAAAGAACCTATATTCTAGTTCCCTTCTGGAACTTGCTAAGGAAGCTCTACGCCAGGTCCCCCAGGGCCCCTTTTTACCTGCTGCTTATCTCACCCTCTCTGCTGAGTGCTTCTCTCCCCTGTCTCACTCCTACCCTTAACCCAGTTTCTGGGATTATCTTCCGAAGAAACTCAAATCCCTGGGTCAGGGCTTGCTTCGGAGACTCAACTTAAAAATCCTATTTAAAACTCAGACAACTTTAATAAAATATTTAAAATAAATGTATCAAAGTTTAAAAGCTTTTGCAGTTTTTGGAAAAGCAATTTATTTTACTTTGATAATTTATACCCAGGTTTTCTTTACTAAAAAAGAACAAAGTTTTGCTCATCTTTTCTCCATTTATGTAGTAATTATTCTCTGGTAGCTTTTTTCGATAAGTAATAAGTTCTCAAAACACGAGAAAATTTAGAAAAAACTCAAATGCACAATTTTGTAGCCAGTGTCTGGGTACATTTTGGGTATGAAATTAATCCTCTGAAATTCTGAACAATGCAGTCAGCTACATTTTAAAGATTTCTGTGCATGACAAAGAGATCATTCTCCACATGGAGAATTCCACATGGAATTATAACTATAGAAGATCTATATACATTCACAATAGACAAAACCCATACTTAATAGAAATGTAAAACTACAATAAATAAAAACAATAAATGATGAAATGATGAACAATAAGTGAAGAAGAGGATAATGCCTCCTCTGTCCCAGAACCACTTTCTCCTCTTACACTAAGGCTCAGAGGTTGAGAGGCATAATTGTACTCTTCACAGGGTGATAAAGACCTAGGGGCCCCACCCTTTTTCTGAGTGGATCTGCATTTTTCTTCAGAGACAAAAACGTTTTTTTCCTCTCTCAAACTAAACCCCAAATGCCACGATGTGGGGTTGTTCCCAGCAGGACAGATCCAGCACGCAGCTGACATCTGCTTTCTGGGCATCTCCCTCCAGGAAGTGGGATGGCCGACATGGGAAGCCAGAGCTGGAAATGATAATGTCTGGCCTCTGATTTAGACACCCATGTCGGCTTTCAGAATAGAAGAAAGAAATAGATTAAGAACTTCTCAATAAATACTCTTGGGTGTGAAATTTAACATTGGCCTACAGAGGATTATTTTATTTGCAACAAAACCAATAACCAAAACCACATTGCAATTAGTTTCCAGCGCATACTTAGGGAAACTGACTGAACTCCCCCCCGCCCTGGGAAATTCTTGGATGAGCCACAGAGATAGCGTGCCGAGTGGGGAACACCACGGGAAACACCACAGCCAAGTGGGTGGATTAGGACTAGTACAGGAACACTCAGAACTCCTCCCCTTTGACAGCAGCAAGGAGCAGCAAAGGACCAGACTTTTCAAATAACTTGGCAAGTGAGCTCATTCTCCCAAGTCCCTCAGGTCAGTCTGGGTGCACCTGGACAGACTCTTAACTCTCCGGTTTATTTCTTCTCATCCAGTATCAGGCCTTGGAGGAGAAAAGCTGGCCCGAAGGCCTGAGTGAGACTAGAGGGACAGTTTGGTATTTGGAGCTCCAGGAAGGGGAATCTGAGTGTGCAGGTTTCTAGAGAGTGCTTTGCATCTGGAGAATTCTCTAGCCTGTGTTTCAGGTAGCTGTCTCCTGCATTACAGAAGTAAGCAACACTCTCAGAAACGAAGCCCAAGGTGAACAAGTAAGCTTTCATCTAAACTTCTGGCTGCACTTGACATTTTCTATGAGAAGTTTTCTATATAAGGTTTGTATCTATAGTTTCATTTACATACCACTTAAAAGTACATATAATAATCTGTGTAACTGTTGAGGTTTTGTATGTACATGTGTGAATGCAAGTGATTATTTGTAGTGTGTGTGTGTGTGTGTGTGTGTGTGTCTGGCCAGTGAGGTTCTTTGGACATCCTTTTGATCAGTGATTCTAAGCTTCAGAACACAGATTTAGAATCACCTAGAAGGTTTCTTAAAGCAGAGATGAATGGGCCTTATTCTCAGAGCTTATGTTTCATAAGTCTGGGGTGACACCCAACAATTTGCAAGTTTCAATTGATTTTGATGATGCTGGTTTGGGAACCAAACTCTGAAAATCGCTTTTGTCTATGTACATCTGTCTGTTTTCTTAGAGCCTCTCCGAACATTAAGCTGA